AGCAGCAGCAGCAGCAGCAGCAGCAGCAGCAGCAGCAGCAGCAGCAGCAGCAGCAGCAGCAACAGCAACAACAGCAGCAGCAGCAGCAGCAGCAGCAGGAGTATACTTGGAAGAGACGATCTAATGCAGTCTCGTTGTGCCCAACATCAATTATAACTCCTTTAGGTACAGGCAGAGGTGTCTCCTCTGCTGCTGCTGCTGCTGCTGCTGCTGCTGCTGTTGCTGCTGCTGTTGGAGGTACGTCACTGCTGCTACAGTTGATATTGGTGCTGCTGGTACTGCTGTTGCTGTTGCTGCTGCTGTTGCTGCTGCTGGTGCTGCTGCAGAGACGAGCAGCAGCACGTAACTGCTGCTCTGTTAGCTCCTGTCCCCTTAATGGAGGAGAAGCAGCAAGAGCAGCAGCAAGACGCGAAGGAGGTAAATCTAATCTTAATACTAATTGTGCACAGGTCCTATACAAAAAGGAGACAAATAAAAAAGAGACAAATAAAAAAGAGACAAATAAAAAAGAGACAAATAAAAAAGAGACAAATAAAAAAAGAGACAAATAAAGGAGGAGACAAATAAAGGAGGAGACAAATAAAGGAGGAGACAATTTATAAGGAGACAATTTATAAGGAGACAGGAGGAGACAGGAGGAGACAAGAGGAGACAGGAGGAGACAGGAGGAGACAAAAGGAGACAAAAGGAGACGGGAGGAGACAGGAGGAGACAGGAAGAGACAGGAGGAGACAGGAGGAGAGAGGAGGAGACAGGAGGAGACAGGAGGAGACAGGAGGAGAGAGGAGGAGAGAGGAGGAGAGAGGAGGAGACAGGAGGAGACAGGAGGAGACAGGAGGAGACAAGAGGAGACAAAAGGAGGTAAATATAATCTTAATACTAATTAAGCATACGCCCTATACAAAAAGGAGACAATTAATAAGGAGACAATTAATAAGGAGACAATTAATAAGGAGACAATTAATAAGGAGGAGACAATTAATAAGGAGACAAATAAAGGAGGAGACAGACAAAGAGGAGACAAATAAAAAGGAGACAGATAAGGAGGAGACAGATAAGGAGGAGACAGGGAAGAAGGAGACAAATAAAAAGGAGACAAGCAAGAAGGAGACAGATAAAGAAGAGACAGACAAGAAGGAGACAGGGAAGAAGGAGACAAATAAGAAGGAGAAAGGGAAGAAGGAGAAGAAAGGAGACACTTAATTTATTTAGTAATTTAATTATTTATTATTGTGTCTCCTCTTGTGTGTCTCCTTTGCCCTCCCAAGACAAAGGAGACACCAAAAAAAAAAAGGAATAAAAAGGAGATAAATAAGAAGGAGAGGGATAAAAAGGAGACAAATAAGAAGGAGAGGGATAAAAAGGAGACAAAAGGAGACAATTAATTTAATCAGCAATATTATTATTTTCTTATATAAATGTGTCTCCTCTTGCGTCTCCTTTGACCCCCCAAGACATAGATATAAGAAAGGAGACACAAAAAAAAGGGAATAAAAAGGAGACAATAAAAAGGAGACAAATAAGAAGGAGATATATAAAAAGGAGACAAAAGGAGACAATTAATTTACTCAGCAATTTTATTATTTTCTTGTATAAATGTGTCTCCTCTTGCGTCTCCTTTAACCTCCCATACATCACAATGCAGGGAAGAAGATTTTTCCCAAAAAACAGAGAAAGGAGACGCAGAGGGACCTAAGGAAAAAAAAAGAGACAAAAAAAAAGAGACAAAAAAAAAAGAGACAATTAAGGAGACTAAGGGGATATATAAGGGAGGGAATAGATGCGAGGAGAGAGAGGAGATTAAATAGGCACAAAAAAGGAGACAAAAAGGAGACAAAAAGGAGACAAAAGACGGGGATAAAGGGAAAAAAAAGGAGACAAAAAGGAGACAATTAAGGAGACAAAAAGGAGACAAATAAAATAAATAAATAAATAAAATAAATAAATAAATAAATAAATAAATAAATAAATATATTTACCTAATATAACATCAGTATTAGGTTTAATTATTTGTGCTTTCTCTGTTGCTATCTCCTCTAATGTATTACCTAATATATTCATATGATCATAACCTACAAGGAGACAAAAAAGGAGACAAAAAAAGAGACAAAAAAGGAGACAAATAAGGAGACAAAAAAAGAGACAAATAAGGAGACAAATAAGGAGACAAATAAGGAGATAAATAAGGAGAAAAAAAGGGGAAAAAAAGAAACAAAATGAGGGAAAAGGAGACAAAAAAACAAGCAAGACAATAATAAAAGGAGACACCTAATAACACCAGCAGTACCCTAATCACCACCACAACCATCAGCAGCAGCAGCAGCAACAGCAACAGCAGCAGCAGCAGCAGCAGCAGCAACAGCAGCAGCAGCAGGAGCAGCAGCAGGTAATAATAGAGAATTGTATATTATTAAAGAAGTTAGTAGCATCATATCTTACATCACCATAACCACCACCACCACCAGCAGCATCAGCAGCAGCAGCAGCAGCAGCATCAGCAGCAGCAGCAGCAGCAGCAGCAGCAGCAGCAGCAGGAGCAGCAGGAGCAGCAGCAACTGACCAATAGAGGTAATAATAGAGCATTGTATATTATTAAAGAAGTTAGTAGCATCATATCTTCCTCCTAATCCAACCTCTAATAAACAATAATCTATATTATTTATATAAAAATAATATAATGCTATTAATGTACATATCTGCATGCATACACAGACATATTATATTCATCGCTACCTACCTACCTACCTAGCTACCTAGCTAGCTGGGGATAGGTATGGCTAGCTCTAGCTACCTAACTAGCTATCTATATGGATATATTTAGGTATGTATATATATATGTATATATATATATATAACATAATATACATTATTAGTAGTAATATAATATAGACATAAATATACACGTAGTTTATTTATTTATTTATTTATTTATTTATTTATTTATTTATTTATTTATTTATTTATTTATTTATTTATTCTAGGTAGCTAGATGTGTGTGCTGACCTCAAAGAAGCTAAGAGAGACATGTGTCTCCTTAGCTGCATGCATAACACGAAGAAAAGAGACAAAAAATTGTCTCTCTTTTATTAATTCATTATTTATTTTTATTCTTTCTCTTAATGATAATATATGAGGAGAAGAATACACTCCTACACGGTAACCTGCAGAAAAAAAAAAACAAAAAAAAAATCCTAAACCCTAAACCCTAAACCCTAAACCCTAAACCCTTATTTTCGTGAAAATTTTAAACCCTAAACCCTAAACCCTAAACACTTATTTTGGTGTACAGTGTAAACTCTTATCTATTCTGCTCTCTTAATAATAATATATGAGGAAATAAATACATATATACACGGTAAATTAAATATTTAAACCCTAAACCCTAAACCCTAAACCCTAATTACCTTTTGCCATTAGGCAAGAAGCCACCTTTAGACAAACACTCCCTTTTCCGTTTGTTCCTGAATACAACTCAACACAAACCCTAAACCCTAAACCCTAAACCCTAAAAATATAGAGAATCTTTGCTAACCCTCCCTCTCCCTCCTCCCTTTCCCTCAACATAAAAACAATCCCTCAAACCCTAAACCCTAAACCCTAAACCCTAAACCCTTACCAGCAACATGAATAACTTTATATTTATCCTGAGGGTTTCCTAATGCAGCAGCAACTTTCTTAACATCCTCTAACCCTAATTTCATCTTAGGGGCCCCCTCTAAACCCTTAAGGGCCTCCATATACACCTCATGGTCGCTCCTATTGTCCCCTTCTTGGGGGCCCTCAAGGGGGCCCCCTTGAGGGCCCCCTTCAGGGGCCCCTTGGGGGGGCCCTTCGGGGGATCCTCCTGGTGAAGGGGTACCGCTGTTATGCTCAGGGGGGCCCCCAGGAGGGGCCCCTATAGATACCTTAGGGGGCCCTGGATCTGATGCCTCCGCCATTTAGGGTTTAGGGTTTAGGGTTTAGGGTTTACAGGGGATAAGAAACAGGAATCCACGTATTGTTGTGGTTCCTTCTTGAGTGCTTATGCCTCTGCTGCTGCTGCTGCTTCTGCTGCTGTTGCTGCTGCTGCTGGTGCAGCAGAAGGCAGCAGAGGAGGGTTTATAGCTATAGTGTGTTGTTATTTATTTGTGTTGTTTGTGTTAAGAGGCAAAACCCTAATTATATTTAAATTCGAGGGTTTGCACTATTTATCGAGGGTTTAGGGTTTAGGGTTTAGGGTTTAGGGTTTTATGGTGTCTGGTGGGCACGGGGCTGCAGCCCTGCACGCAAGTGTTGCGTGGGGCGGCGCTTTGGAGGGTTTGGCTTCTACAAACCCTAAACCCTAAACCCTAAACCCTAAACCCTAGATAAAAAAATAAAAGCTTATTTTCTTGTTTATTCTTTTGTGGGGACCGCGTTGCTCTCCTTTGTTGCTACTGCGGCTCCTCCTTCTTCCTGCTTTTGGCTTCCAAACCCTAAACCCTAAACCCTAAACCCTAAACCCTTGCTTCTTAACCTTCTTTCTCTTATAAAGAAATGGCTCAGGACAAAAAAGTAAGACAAACCCTCATCTAAACCCTCGACCTTTTTTCTCTCCTATAACGTTGGTGTGTCTTCCTTGGTGCCCCTTTTGAGGGTTTAGGGTTTAGGGTTTAGAGGGTTTAGGGTTTGTCATAAAATGTTCTTCTTTTTTCCCTGCAGGACGTGGAGGCCCTCAGTGGGGCCCTCCAAAGAGTCACTGTTGGTGAGACACACCAAATTAGGGTTTAGGGTTTAGGGTTTAGGGTTTAGGAGTCTGGGGTGCACCACCTTATGTGCCTTTTTGTCTGTTGCTTCCGCTTCTTCGTTGCTGCTGTCAGCTTCTTGCTGCAACAGCAGCACCACCACAGCCACCAACAGCAGCAGCACCAACAGCAGCAGCACCAGCAGCAGCAGCAGCAGCAACAGCAGCAGCAGGATGAGGGTTTGTTGTTTTTTTTTTTTTTTTTTTTTT